GATGATGACGATGATGATGACGATGATGATGATGATGATGATGATGACGATGATGATGACGATGATGATGATGATGATGATGATGACGATGATGATGACGATGATGATGATGATGATGATGATGATGATGATAATGTAAAAGCTCTTGGACATCTGACTATTTAAAACAAAACAACAACATTTGGGGCACGTTACTGTTTTTAAAAAAAGATTTCTTTTCAACACGTTGATTTTTCTTCCTGTGTCAGGTCTAGGGTAGGCATTGACGATCATGTCATCCCTCTCCTTTCTGTTGCCTGTCTTCCTGGTCAGCAAAGGTCGTTCTCCTCCTGTCATCTGTTGTCTTCATCATCCAGTGCCAGATCTACGACAGACATCGGCGATCATGGTTCTCCATTCATTCCTTTGCTCGGATGCTCTCAAAAAAGCTACGTTTCCCAGATCTTTCCCTGTTACCCTTTTATTTAGGTTCCCTAAGTAGGTTGCTCTGGGCCTACCCCTGCCTCGTTTTCCTTCAATTTTGCCAGTGAGAGCTAGATGTACAAGAAGTTTATGTCTATCCAGGTGTCCCAAAAACTGCACTTGTCGTTTTCTGGTTGTCTTTAACAGTGAGCGTCCCACGTGAGCTTCAGCAAGCACTACCTCGTTTGATTTCTTTTCCTTCCACGATACTCTGAGCAGTCTCCTAAGAAACCACATTTCTGTTGCTTCTATTTTATATTCACTGTCTTTAGTGATTGTCCAGCATTCACAGCCATATGGAAGGGTTGGCCATTCCTAGCTTTTGAGAACGTTCATTTCTGGTAGTCATTGAGGTGTTTCTATTTTTCAGGATTGGGCTTTTTTTTAAAAAACTAGCCTTAAGCATTGCAATTTTTCGTTTTATTTCAATGGAACATTCGGCATCAGATGTGTTAGATATCTCCAGTTGGTCAGACCATCTGTGTAAGTTGTTCCCTGTCCTCCTGTGCTCTTCTGTAACACTTCTGTCCCTCCCTCTGTCTGTCCCTCCCTCTATCTGTCCTTCCTTCTTTCTGTCCCTCCCTCTGTCCTTCCCTCTATCTGTCCACACAGCAGTGTGTTGATAAGTAAGCAGGCTTAATGTCGATGAGAAGTAGTCGTGCATTGACAGGAGGTATTTCGGTATCGATACCGTGACCGAATCTCCCAATAAATATAGCCAAATTGGAGGCACGCAAAAGTAGGCCAAGTTCTCAGTTTACCGCACTGGAGCAAGGCAAAAACAGCGCGAGACAGTTTCCACTGCCAGCCAGATAAAATACGCCGCTCGACAGTCCGGGCAGACGATACGAGGCCGTCCCCAGGTGGTGTGTTGGTGGATGTTTAAGTTCAGCAACATCTTGGTTATCTAAGATCTCAACTCTCAACTCTCAACAACAACCCCTCTCCGGTGTTTTTGCGGTACCTAGATCTAGATACTGTTGCAGCAGTGAATGAATCGTGTGCACTGTGTATTTTGTTTCCGAGGACGAGACGGGCAGCGATTATAAAGCTCGGAGTTGTTTTGACTTGTGCCACAGAGCCGGACTCCCCTCGGACCTGACCGCTAGACTTTTAGATCTACAAGCTTTGCTGTGTTAACCTTACACCCTCCACACCCACACAGACCCGTCGTACTAGGGGCCTATATGGATGGTAACGTTTGTGTTCCTAACAGGCCACCACGCTGCGTATCCATAGGAAGCTGTAACGTTCATTTGACGTGGAAAGGATTATCCAAAGAGTTCCTCGGGAATTGCGCGTGTGTGTTGTCTGAGAGATCCCCCAAGGCCGTGAGCCAGAGCTCGTTCGTTTACCTTTGAGTGATCAGGTGGGATGTTATCCTTCTATTCTATGGAAACCCACGAAGGCAATATGTTCGCGGTTGGGGACGAGTTTGATCTATGGAACAACGAAAAGGTAAATTTTATGTTAGAATGGCGTGAATTAATGCCTCGCTAAATGACACTTTTCTCTCTAATACTTTTAATCCCATTTCCTTCTTCTTCTTCTTTTTCTTCTTCTCTCTCTCTCTCTCTCTCTCTCTCTCTCT